AAGAAAACCTGGACCACTCTAGGTTTCAAACCCTGGGGGTCATCACAGAGACCCCGGAACCCCTCTAGGTAAACCGTGAGGGCATCACAGAAAACCTGGACCACTCTAGGTTTCACCGTAGGTCACACATGACCTTGGGCCACTCTAGGTAAAAAACCCGGCGGCATCACAGTAGAAACCGGACTACCCGGGGACACCCTTCGGTTCCCTCACGTAACCTGGGCCACTCAGGCAAACCGTTCCCGGGCATCACAGAAAACCTGACCACTCTAAAGGGACCCCGGGGGGTCATCACAGTAGACCCGGACCACTCTAGGGCCCCCGTCGGATCCCCCCCACAGTAGACCTGGACCACCCTAGGTACACCCGTGGGCATCCCAGTAGACCTGGAAACCCCTCCAAAGGTAACACCGTGCGGGGGCCCTCCCCAGTAAACCCGGACTACTCTAGGGACCCGGGGTTGTGCCTGGACCATCAGTGGGGAGACAAAAACCCTGGGTCCTCCGCCCCCCATAAGGGTTTCAAACCCTGGGGTTTAATAACCGGGGCCCCTCTGTTTTTTAGTCGGTATTAATGACCTGGCCATTGGGGACAAAAAACCCTAGGTCATCACAAGAGGAAAACTAATACACCTGGAAAAAACCTACATTTTAGGACACCGGCGGTCATCACTAAAAAACCTGGGGCCACTTTCCAACCCCGGGGGTACATCCGGGGAATAGGCAGAGGATCCGAAACCACCAATAGGACACCGTGAATCCTCCAATCTAGGGACAAACCCTGCGGGCTCACAGTAGACCCTGGGCCACTCCCAGGACAAAAGGGGGGTCATCACAGTAACCGGGAAACCAAAAAATTTGGGGTTTTAAATAATTTGGAATCAGGGACACCGTGGGGCCCTCCAAAATAACCCGGAACCCCTCCAAAGGGACACCCTGGGGCAACACAGTAACCTTTGGGCCAAATCTAAAGGTACAAACCCTGGGTCATCAAGTAACCTGGACCACTCAGGACAACCGGGGTCATCACAGTTTGACCTGGGCCACTCTAGGGACACCGTGAGGTCACACAGTAGACCCGGGCCACTCTAGGGCAACCGGAGGTACCCCAGTAACCTGGACCACTTAGGACAAACCCTAGGGGCATCACAGTAGACCGGGCCCCCTCTAGGTACAAAACCCCTGGGTCCTTTACAGTTTGACCTGGGCCCCTTTTAGGACACCGTGGGTCATCACAGTAGAAACCCGGGCCACCCAAAGGACAAAAGGAGGTCACACAGTAGACCTGGACCACTCATCAAACCGTTGGGCATCACAGTAGACCGGACCACTCTAGGGGACACCGTGAGGTCATCACAAGACCTGACCACTTAGGTACACCGTGGGTCATCACAGTAGACCTGGACCACTCTAGGAAAACCGTGGGTCATCACAGAAACCTGGACCACTCTAAAGGGACACCGTGGGTCCAAACACAGTAGACCGGCCCCCCCCAGGCAGTTTGTTCACCAGGCCCCGGGAATTGGCCAAAACCGTTTGGGGGGGTCTTAATAAACCCTTTTGGGGCCGGGCTAATAACCGGGGGGGAGGGGTCTTAATAACCGGGGGGCCCTTTTTAATAACCGGGTTGGGGGGTCTTAATAACCCTTTTGGGGCTTCTTAAAACCGGGGGGCGGGGCCAAAAACCCGGTTTGGGGGCCTGTCTTTAAAACCCGGTTTTGGGTATCAAAGTAACCCTGGGCCCTCTTTCCTTGGGAACGGTTGTTTTGGGGGGCAAAAAAAAAAAACCGGGTTTGGGAGCGGGTGGGGATAATAACAAGTTTTTGGGGGTGGGTTTTTTAAAAAGGGGGTAGGGGCCAAAAAAACCAAAAAGGGGGTTTTGGGGGGGGGTGGGTTTTAAAAAACCAGGGTTAGGGGGCCTTGGGGTTTAAAATTTTCCAGGAAGGGGGGGGTCTAAAAACGCCCGTTTGGGACGGGTTTTTAAAACCCCCTTTGGGAGCGGGTCTTAAAACCCAGGGTTTGGTGACTAGAAGATAACAGTTTCCTCCTTCCCCCAATGGTTCCTTGGGGCAGAAAAAACTAAAAACGGAAGGGGAGGGAGAAACCGAAAAAAGAATTGGGGGAATTGATAACAAGAAATGGTGAAGAAATTTTAAATGGAAAAGGGAGGAGAGATTGAAAAAGGACCAGGCCAGGGGACAGCAAAAAAAGTTTCAGTAAAGGGGAGCAGGATTTGATAAATCCATTCTCAAAGGTGCCAAAAGGGGGTTTAAAACCCCAGGGAAAGGGCAGGGGAGCAAACTGATAACACTCTCAGCCTACCCTGGTGCCAGGGGAGCAGCATCTGATAACAAATCTCAGCTCAACCCCAAAAAGGGGGCCAGGGGAGCAGCATCTGATAACACTCCCCACTCTACCATGGTGGGCCCGGGCAGCAACATCTGAAAAACTCTCACCCCTACCATGGGGCCAGGGCAGCAACATCTGATAACACTCTCAGCTCTACCATGGTGCCAGGCAGCAACATCTGATAACACTCTCAGCTCTACCATGGTGCCAGGGCAGCAGCATCTGATAACACTCTCAGCTCTACCATGGTGCCAGGGCAGCAACATCTGATAACACTCTCAGCTCTACCATGGTGCCAGGGCAGCAGCATCTGATAACACTCTCAGCTCTACCATGGTGCCAGGGCAGCAGCATCTGATAACACTCTCAGCTCTACCATGGTACCAGGGCAGCAGCATCTGATAACACTCTCAGCTCTACCATGGTGCCAGGGCAGCAGCATCTGATAACACTCTCAGCTCTACCATGGTGCCAGGGCAGCAGCATCTGATAACACTCTCAGCTCTACCATGGTGCCAGGGCAGCAGCATCTGATAACACTCTCAGCTCTACCATGGTGCCAGGGCAGCAGCATCTGATAACACTCTCAGCTCTACCATGGTGCCAGGGCAGCAGCATCTGATAACACTCTCAGCTCAAACCATGGTGCCAGGGCAGCAGCATCTGATAACATTCTCACTCTACCATGGGCCAGGGCAGCAGCATCTGATAACACTCTCAGCTCTACCATGGTGCCAGGGCAGCAACATCTGATAACACTCTCAGCTCAAACCATGGTACCAGGCAGCAGCATCTGATAACACTCTCAGCTCTCCCAAATGTGTGCCAGGGCAGCAGCATCTGATAACACTCTCAGCTCTACCATGGTGCCAGGGCAGCAGCATCTGATAACACTCTCAGCTCTACCATGGTGCCAGGGCAGCAACATCTGATAACACTCTCAGCTCTACCATGGTACCAGGGCAGCAGCATCTGATAACACTCTCAGCTCTACCATGGTGCCAGGGCAGCAACATCTGATAACACTCTCAGCTCTACCATGGTACCAGGGCAGCAGCATCTGATAACACTCTCAGCTCTACCATGGTGCCAGGGCAGCAGCATCTGATAACACTCTCAGCTCTACCATGGTGCCAGGGCAGCAACATCTGATAACACTCTCAGCTCTACCATGGTACCAGGGCAGCAGCATCTGATAACACTCTCAGCTCTACCATGGTGCCAGGGCAGCAGCATCTGATAACACTCTCAGCTCTACCATGGTGCCAGGGCAGCAACATCTGATAACACTCTCAGCTCTACCATGGTACCAGTGGCAGCAGCATCTGATAACACTCTCAGCTCTACCATGGTGCCAGGGCAGCAGCATCTGATAACACTCTCAGCTCTACCATGGTGCCAGGGCAGCAACATCTGATAACACTCTCAGCTCTACCATGGTACCAGGGCAGCAGCATCTGATAACACTCTCAGCTCTACCATGGTGCCAGGGCAGCAGCATCTGAAAAACACTCTCAGCTCTACCATGGTGCCAGGGCAGCAACATCTGATAACACTCTCAGCTCTACCATGGTACCAGGGCAGCAGCATCTGATAACACTCTCAGCTCTACCATGGTACCAGGGCAGCAGCATCTGATAACACTCTCAGCTCTACCATGGTGCCAGCGCAGCAGCATCTGATAACACTCTCAGCTCTACCATGGTGCCAGCGCAGCAGCATCTGATAACACTCTCAGCTCTACCATGGTGCCAGGGCAGCAGCATCTGATAACACTCTCAGCTCTACAGATTAATTTAGCACACCTAGCCAAGTAATCACAAAACCTCATATCGAAGTTGTGTCACCAGATGCGTCCCTGAGGCAGACCACGACGTGTCGAGATGTCTGCGATTACTTAATCTCGTCGGAAGGCATTAGAAGCTAGCTCTTGGGCCCTTGTGACCTGCACTCTAGCCGCTACGAAGAGATACGAGGGACACACAAAAGGCCCCTCCCCAAAAGGGCTCCCTAACCCTGACTATTCCGAAAACCATGGAGACTCAGGTCAGGTTAGCCTAGCGCCCTGATTAACTTTGTCGTGGGTGATTGGGAGTGAGTCCCCCAGGGAGCGTATATCCAGCCAGGGTTGGGGTGCACTCATCCCTTCCCTCTGCCTTCCTCTAGTCTTTCCAAACGTGTCTCTCTTTTATTCACCAGCAATGCCTTTTAAAGTGCCAGTTCTTGCCCAAAATACATTTAAGTGTTCCACTTTCCTAAAACATTTGAAGGTTGCTCCTCCCAGTAAATCAATACGTGTTTTCCGCCCCCAGTCATCAGTGTTAGACATTATTCCTTCACTAGTCATCAATGTTAGACGTCATTCCTTCACCAGTCATCAATGTAAGAAGTTTTTCCTTCACCAGTCATCAATGTAAGACATTATTCCTTCACCAGTCATCAATGTTAGACGTCATTCCTTCACCAGTCATCAATGTAAGAAGTTTTTCCTTCACCAGTCATCAATGTTAGACATCATTCATTCACCAGTCATCAATGTAAGATGTATCACTTCTTCCCACCCATTAATAAAATTCAACATTCCTATACAGTCAATAAAACACAGTACACCATTCTGAGAGAAGCAGGACGAGGAAGAAGAGGAACACTCACCATACTAAGAAGGGAGCAGCAGTTACCCTTCTCAGATCTAGCCATATACTGTCTGATATACTTGAAGTACAGATGTTCCAGACCCAGCAGCAGTAGCGCCAACAGGATGCCGCATCCCAGCAGCAGGAAGGTCGACATAAACTGCTCCAGAGCCAGTGGTTTGCTGGAAGACTTGTGTTGCTTGTTGGGTTTACAAGCCCCGGTGAACCAGAAGCGTGCGATTCTCTCCAGGTCACCTACCAGCCAAGGTAATGTTAATCTTGACTGTGATAATAACACAAGAAAACTTATGCACCTGGCCCATAGTAAGCAGGTTCAACTCACAACTAACCACTGCACTCGGCATACAGGACCTTACTAGGTATATTGGCCCATACTAGACAGGTACAATTCACGGTGATACAATGGTAGACTGTACTAACAACATTTAAATAATATGCAAGATGCGAGTTATGACATTTTATTGTGAAGATGTCTTGTGTGTTGATGAAGTCTTTGATACGTAGACAAAACATCATAATAAATGCCATAACCCACATCTAGTGTCTTATTTTCACACAGGTTCCAACTCACAGCCACTTACACACCGTCCATCTTTCATTAACGTTAACCATAAACACCGTCTCAGTTCCGCTATCTCGGCAGTTTCTTTACTGTTATCATGATGATTGGCATTAGCAAATTTTGAAAATGATGAACGATGGTGGTAATGAAGATCAATGATGGGTACGTGATAAAATATAATTCATACCATGAAAAAACGAACACTGAAAATATTCTTCATTTATCCTTACATAATGGAGAAGAGAGAAGCGTCAGGTGGCGCAGGAATCACCGTAAGAAAACAACACGCAAATTGCCTTTATTATACCAGCCACTTTTCTTGTTAAAGTGTGAGTTTTACTGAGCTGTTTCTGTTAGTTTAGCGTAAAAATCACGTAACGCGGGCCTTTGGCAAATAAGATACCAGATATATTAAGCAAATTTCCTAAATTTGCTTGTAACATATAAATGAACTGTTCATATAAATCCAGATGTTCTCCTGTTAACCCTTTGAGGCCTAGTTCCTAGGCCTTTTGTATATCCATATGTTCTTGCGCTACCGTCCACAGGATGGATATGGGGTGCACAATAAACTAGCCACTTCGGTGGCAAAATCTAGAAAACAAATCTTTTCATGAGAGGTTCAGTAGAGCCACGACACACTGACGGTGTCGTGGCAACACCTTGTCTAAGAAGTGAAGATCGGGTAGTTGAGGGTAGCAACGACCACTGGCTTTACCCGTGATGGACTCAAGTGGCCAGAGTACATTCCAGTGGGACATGACATTACACTCTCCTTCGCATATGAGAGACTGGTAAGTGTAGGTGGTGATAGGTGGGAGTCGATGTCGTAATGTCAGGTGTCACCATTCATTGTGCAACACATTGTCTGATGTTAAAAAATATTCTAACTTTTTTTGTTGGTTAAAACCGTGTTTCATATAACTTGTTGCAGCCATACAAGGCTGCACTGCAGACATAAAATATAATCAGAAATTAAAACGACTGAAGAAGCATTTGAGCAAGGCAAGAGAAATTGTCTTGGCTGCAAGATGGTGTTAAATACCAACGTCAATGTGGATGAGACACATGCACCATTAGAACATGTATTAATTCAACGTTTCGCTCGCTTTGAGCCTTGCCAATGCAATGCCTGGACTGGCGTGGTTTATCTTCAGCAAACCACGCCAGTGGTGACAAAATTTCAAGCCGACCAGCTGTAGCATTGATTCCAACGATTCCAAGCTCTTGTTTTGCTTGCAATTTTACTGCTTCACGAAATTCAAAGTTCAGCAAGAATCCTCCTGGCACTAAGATGCATCAGCCATTAAACACTGAAGTCGTTCGTAAAGAGGAAGACTGGAATTTATTTATCGTGATTTAAAGGCAATAGAAATGTGACTATTTTACACATTAATCGTCGAAAATGTAGCATCAACAAGCTTGACTTGTACTCTCCACCAGCGCCGTATTTTGCGGTAGCTTTCTTGAGCGATTGAAGCTACGCCACTGAGGATTCTGGAAGATATCTGAGCCATTCCAGGATTCTGGGTAATATGTTCAATAACTTTGGTCACAGGTTACGTGAACTTGATAATTGCTCCACCACCTGGGTCCCAGCAACGCAATAAACCACCACTGGGGTTCCAGCAACATGCTGAACCACCACTGGTGTTCCAGCAACACACTGAACCACCACTGGGGTTCCAGCAACACGCTGAACCACCACTGGGGTCCCAGCAATAAACCACTGGGGACCCAGCAACACACCACTGGGGGTCACCTCCTCCCTACTCACCGTTTTCTCTGTACTTCATAATCTGCTCGTTAAACATCTCCAGATACTTGGACTTCCTGGCGAAGGCCACGCCGTAACCTGTAAGGGCATACCAGGAACCCACCGTCAGCAGCTTACACTCGTCATCCTGACCTACCAGGTACTCCATCACCGTCGCGTCGTACAGGAAGGCATCCAGCTTCCTGCAGCAGGGAGAGAGACTAGTGTCAGACCATCGTCAGCAGACAGATGCTATAAGGTCATAGATTGTTGTAACACACACACACACACACACACACACACACACACACGCACACACACACACACACACACACACACACACACACACACACACACACACACACACACACACACACACAACAACCACAGGGGAGGTTGAGTCATAGCTCTTGGCTTTTCGTGTTGCAATCAACATATTTTGTATTGTTCTTTATTATCATTGTACATATATATATATATATATATATATATATATATATATATATATATATATATATATATATATATATATATATATATATATATATATATATATATATATATATTAACAAGCCGGCCGTCTCCCACCGAGGCAGGATGGCCCAAAAAGAAAGAAAATCCCTAAAAAGAAAATACTTTCATCATTATTCAACACTTTCACCTCACTCACGCATTATCACTGTTTTTGCAGAGGTGCTCAGAACACAACAGTTTAGAAGCATATACGTATAAAGATACAAAACATATCCCTCCAAACTGCCAATATCTCAAACCCCTCCTTTAAAGTGCAGGCATTGTACTTCCCATTTCCAGGACTCAAGTCCGACTATATGAAAATAACCGGTTTCCCTGAATCCCTTCACTAAATATTACCCTGCTCACACTCCAACAGATCGTCAGGTCCCAAATATCATTCGTCTCCATTCACTCCTATCGAACACGCTCACGTGCGCTTGCTGGAAGTCCAAGCCCCTCGCCCACAAAACCTCCCTTACCCCTTCCAACCTTTTCAAGGACGACCCCTACCCCGCCTTCCTTCTACAGATTTATACGCTCTCCATGTCATTCTACTTTGATCCATTCTCTCTAAATGACCAAACCACCTCAACAACCCCTCTTCAGCCCTCTGACTAATACTTTTATTAACTCCACGCCTTCTCCTAATTTCCACACTCCAAATTTTCTGCATAATATTTACACCACACATTGCCCTTAGACAGGACATCTATATACTATTCTATATTTCTAATTTATTACCAATATTTTTGAGGGTAAACTATTTTCGAGAGTTTTTTTATTTGGTGTTATAATTCTTCTCCATCGCTTTACTGAATAAACCGAAGCTTTGTACCTAATTTAAATATTTATCACGAAGCAGTAGTGGAGGTTCGATCTACCGACCAGGTAGTGTGAGCCACGTCACTGGTCAGCGTTCACTCGTGTCTTGAACAGCCGTAATGGTGAAAGAAACACAGTTAGATGTGTTTACTGATGAGGTTTCTTGTATGCAGTGTTTCTGTATACCAGCATCCGTCTATACCGTAGTGCCGGTATCCAGTGCACTCATTAACTAAAGTGTTTTGCGACTGACCCCTGAGTGTCTCTCTTCCTTGCTCCGTCTCTCTCCCTCTCTCCCTCTGTCTCATCAATCACATAAATGAGCTCCTCAAAGATACATTTACTGGCGCCGCCATCAACACCAGTTGCACTGGCAATTTCCACATCAAAGGCACTCCAGCCAGTGTTGATACTGACGTATAAACACTACTGAAGGTGCGTCCCACTGACCTCACCTCCCCTGCCCAACAACCATTATTATTATTATTATTATTATTATTATTATTATTATTATTATTATTATTATTATTATTATTATTATCATTTTTATTATTCCCTGAAAGGTACCTTCAAATGGTTGATAATTTAAGAAAGCCTGATGAGACAGGCTTCAAATTCTTCAACTCTGTTGTTACCTTAAGACACGTGTTGTCCATGTTCACAAATCAGTAAAATGGGTACCTGGGTGTTAGTGGACTGGTGTGGGTCGCATCCTGGGTGTTAGTGGACTGGTGTGGTCGCATCCTGGGTGTTAGTGGACTGGTGTGGTCGCATCCTGGGTGTTAGTGGACTGGTGTGGTCGCATCCTGGGTGTTAGTGGACTGGTGTGGTCGCATCCTGGGTGTTAGTGGACTGGTGTGGTCGCATCCTGGGTGTTAGTGGACTGGTGTAGGTCGCATCCTGGGTGTTAGTCGACTGATGTGGTCGCATCCTGGGTGTTAGTGGACTGGTGTGGTCGCATCCTGGGTGTTAGTGGACTGATGTGGTCGCATCCTGGGTGTTAGTGGACTGGTTGTGGGTCGCATCCTGGGTGTTAGTGGACTGGTGTGGTCGCATCCTGGGTGTTAGTGGACTGGTGTGGGTCGCATCCTGGGTGTTAGTGGACTGGTGTAGGTCGCATCCTGGGAGTTAGTGGACTGGTGTGGTCGCATCCTGGGTGTTAGTGGACCGGTGTGGTCGCATCCTGGGTGTTAGTGGACTGGTGTAGGTCGCATCCTGGGTGTTAGTGGACTGGTGTGGTCGCATCCTGGGTGTTAGTGGACTGGTGTGGTCGCATCCTGGGTGTTAGTGGACTGATGTGGTCGCATCCTGGGTGTAAGTGGACTGGTGTGGTCGCATCCTGGGTGTTAGTGGACTGGTGTGGTCGTATCCTGGGTGTTAGTGGACTGGTGTGGTCGCATCCTGGGTGTTAGTGGACTGGTGAGGTCGCATCCTGGGTGTTAGTGGACTGGTGTGGTCGCATCTGGGTGTTAGTGGACTGGTGTGGTCGCATCCTGGGTGTTAGTGGACTGGTGTGGTCGCATCCTGGGTGTAAGTGGACTGGTGTGGTCGCATCCTGGGTGTTAGTGGACTGGTGTGGTCGCATCCTGGGTGTTAGTGGACTGATGTGGTCGCATCCTGGGTGTAAGTGGACTGGTGTGGTCGCATCCTGGGTGTTAGTGGACTGATGTGGTCGCATCCTGGGTGTTAGTGGACTGGTGTGGTCGCATCCTGGGTGTAAGTGGACTGGTGTGGTCGCATCCTGGGTGTTATGGACTGGTGTGGTCGCATCCTGGGTGTTAGTGGACTGGTGTGGTCGCATCCTGGGTGTTAGTGGACTGGTGTGGGTCGCATCCTGGGTGTTAGTGGACTGATGTGGTCGCATCCTGGGTGTTAGTGGACTGGTGTGGTCGCATCCTGGGTGTTAGTGGACTGGTGTGGTCGCATCCTGGGTGTTAGTGGACTGGTGTGGTCGCATCCTGGGTGTTAGTGGACTGGTGTGGTCGCATCCTGGGTGTTAGTGGACTGGTGTGGTCGCATCCTGGGTGTTAGTGGACTGGTGTGGTCGCATCCTGGGTGTTAGTGGACTGGTGTGGTCGCATCCTGGGTGTTAGTGGACTGGTGTGGTCGCATCCTGGGTGTTAGTGGACTGGTGTGGTCGCATCCTGGGTGTTAGTGGACTGGTGTGGTCGCATCCTGGGTGTTAGTGGACTGGTGTGGTCGCATCCTGGGTGTTAGTGGACTGGTGTGGTCGCATCCTGGGTGTTAGTGGACTGGTGTGGGTCGCATCCTGGGTGTTAGTGGACTGGTGTGGTCGCATCCTGGTGTTAGTGGACTGGTGTGGTCGCATCCTGGGTGTTAGTGGACTGGTGTGGTCGCATCCTGGGTGTTAGTGGACTGGTGTGGTCGCATCCTGGGTGTTAGTGACTGATGTGGTCGCATCCTGGGTGTAAGTGGACTGGTGTGGGTCGCATCCTGGGTGTTAGTGGACTGGTGTGGTCGCATCCTGGGTGTTAGTGGACCGGTGTGGGTCGCATCCTGGGTGTTAGTGGACTGGTGTGGTCGCATCCTGGGTGTTAGTGGATGATGTGGTCGCATCCTGGGTGTTAGTGGACTGGTGTGGTCGCATCCTGGGTGTTAGTGGACTGGTGTGGTCGCATCCTGGGTGTTAGTGGACTGGTGTGGTCGCATCCTGGTGTTAGTGGACTGGTGTGGTCGCATCCTGGGTATTAGTGGACTGGTGTAGGTCGCATCCTGGGTGTTAGTCGACTGATGTGGTCGCATCCTGGGTGTTAGTGGACTGGTGTGGTCGCATCCTGGGTGTTAGTGGACTGATGTGGTCGCATCCTGGGTGTTAGTGGACTGGTGTGGTCGCATCCTGGGTGTTAGTGGACTGGTGTGGTCGCATCCTGGGTGTTAGTGGACTGGTGTGGGTCGCATCCTGGGTGTTAGTGGACTGGTGTAGGTCGCATCCTGGGAGTTAGTGGACTGGTGTGGTCGCATCCTGGGTGTTAGTGGACCGGTGTGGTCGCATCCTGGGTGTTAGTGGACTGGTGTAGGTCGCATCCTGGGTGTTAGTGGACTGGTGTGGTCGCATCCTGGGTGTTAGTGGACTGGTGTGGTCGCATCCTGGGTGTTAGTGACTGATGTGGTCGCATTCCTGGGTGTAAGTGGACTGGTGTGGTCGCATCCTGGGTGTTAGTGGACTGGTGTGGTCGTATCCTGGGTGTTAGTGGACTGGTGTGGTCGCATCCTGGGTGTTAGTGGACTGGTGTGGTCGCATCCTGGGTGTTAGTGGACTGGTGTGGTCGCATCCTGGGTGTTAGTGGGACTGGTGTGGCGCATCCTGGGTGTTAGTGGACTGGTGTGGTCGCATCCTGGGTGTAAGTGGACTGGTGTGGTCGCATCCTGGGTTGTTAGTGGACTGTGTGGTCGCATCCTGGGTGTTAGTGGACTGGTGTGGTCGCATTCCTGGGTGTTAGTGGACTGATGTGGTCGCATCCTGGGTGTAAGTGGACTGGTGTGGTCGCATCCTGGGTGTTAGTGGACTGGTGTGGTCGTATCCTGGGTGTTAGTGGACTGGTGTGGTCGCATCCTGGGTGTTAGTGGACTGGTGAGGTCGCATCCTGGGTGTTAGTGGACTGGTGTGGTCGCATCCTGGGTGTTAGTGGACTGGTGTGGTCGCATCCTGGGTGTTAGTGGACTGGTGTGGTCGCATCCTGGGTGTAAGTGGACTGGTGTGGTCGCATCCTGGGTGTTAGTGGACTGGTGTGGTCGCATCCTGGGTGTTAGTGGACTGATGTGGTCGCATCCTGGGTGTAAGTGGACTGGTGTGGTCGCATCCTGGGTGTTAGTGGACTGATGTGGTCGCATCCTGGGTGTTAGT